GGGGGGGGGGGGGGGCTTAGGCGAAGGGAGAGAAGAGCAGACGGTTGGGGGACCCCTTGACATCGGTGACAACATTCTTGGTGGACTGGTTGATGAGGTTGTTCTTGACGGTGGCCGGGCTCAGGGCGCCAGACTGGCCGAGCATGAGGGCAGCCACACCGGCCACATGGGGGGTGGCCATGGAGGTACCGGAGAGGGTGGCGATGGCGGTGTTGGAGCCGATCCAGGTGGAGGTGATGGACACACCGGGGGCGAAGATGTCGGTGCAGGAGCCGAAGTTGGAGAAGGAGGCGCGCTTGTCCGAGGCGTCGGAGGCGCACACGGTGACCGCCGGGCCGACGCGGGCCGGGGAGGCCTTGCAGGCGTCGCGGTTCTCATTGCCGGCAGCGGCAATGACCGACACACCGGCATTGATGGCGGCGACGACAGCATCATCCAGCGACCGGTAGGCATCGCTGCCGAGGGACATGGAGGCGATGGTCTTCTTGCGGAAGGCCTGCTTGTGGCGCTCGGCCACCCAGGCCACACCGGCCACCACATTGGACATGTTGCCGGAGCCGGAGCTGCCCAGCACACGGACACTGATGAGAGCGGCATTCTTGGCCACGCCCCAGGTGTAGCTGCCGATGGTGCCGGCGCAATGGGTACCATGGCCGTTGTCGTCATTGGCGTTGTTGTTGTTGTCGTGGAAGTTGTAGCCGTGGGAGGCGTGGCCGCCGAAGTCGATGTGCGAGTGGTTGATGCCGGTGTCGATGACGTAGACGTTGACGCCGGAGCCGCCGTGGTTGTAGTAGCTGTAGCGGAAGTCCCGGGGCAGGGCGCGCTGGTCAATGCGGTCCAGGCCCCAGGTGGGGTTCTCCTGGGTGACGGCGTCGATGCGGGCAATCTGGTCGGCCTCGATGTAGTCCACCAGGTCGGAGCGGGCGCGGATGCGGTTCAGCAGGTCCTCGGGAATGTCGCCGGAGACGGCCTTGAACTCGCGGCCGATGTTGACGAAGCGCCGGCCGCCGATGTTGAGGGAGTCCGAGAAGACGCGAGCCTCGGCCACGGAGATGTCCGGGCGGAAGACGACAATGTACTTCCCGGGGATGATCTCGGCCTCGTGGTTCTGGATCAGGGGAACGCGGAGCTGCTCGTGGTGCACATTGGCGGAGGCGGCCGCCGCAAAGAGGGCCAGGGTGAGGAGGGCGTAAAGGGCCTTCATGAGGACGGAGAGGGGGGGGGG